CAAATCTAATTAAGTTTATTCCGATCTGACCGCGTACTCCGGTACCGCAATTTAATCCGTCTAATCCATTTCTTTTCCTCTGTATTTACCTATAGGGCGGACTCATTGTACTCACTAATCCTTATTTCTTTTCCTCTGTATTTACCTATAGGGCGTACCTTTTGTAATTACCTCTATTCCGCTGTAGATATCCTGAATAAACCTTGTGCTTATTGTTATACCGAAAACTACCTGTAAGACTTATTTCCGATCCTTTCCAAGCGATTTACTCTATTAAGCGAATTAAAATCTACCTTGCCTCCTTTCCTCCCGACGGCCCTGGAGCTGAGCATATTCGGCAACAGGAGGAACGGAGGATCTATTCTAACCGACACACAGCACGTCAAAATACCGACCGCGAGAACGCTAGCTCCTCCAACCGTCAATCGGAACCGCGTGTCCGATTGAAAATAATTCCTGCCGGAATCCTGTCCGGAACCGGGAGGAGCTAGACCGATTTAATTACGTTCGTTACACTGTGAAGGGGGAGTTGTATGTATTTAATTAAATACATATATACAGGGTGTTACTTAAAGATCCCGCCCACCAAGTACATAGCGTTATTCCTTATAAAATTCTGAGTCGAAAAGTCCTGAACCATTTTTTTCTATCATGCTTAATAATGAATGAGTCAATCCACTGAGCACCGGCGGCCTTTAGCCGGGCGGCACGTCAGTGAGCCGCGCGCCTGGTAGTGTGCGTGAGCGCTCGGCCGCCGCGGCGCGGGCGGCGCGGTCCTCGCTCGCGCTGCTACACTGAGAAAAAAATTTTGTTCAACGATCTAAACGCATTTAGTTGTTTGAAGATTTGATTAATCCAACAGTTATTTATTCAACCGAACTTAACCATAGTCTACTTAACAAACTGTTCAATGTTGGATAACAAAAACGATTTAACTATTTCATTAATTTAACGGGACTATAATTATTTTGTTACCTCCAAGAAAAATGAGTTACCAGAATCGTTAGATTTATTTCGACAATCTGTCGGTGTCAACTAAATGCATTTATATAAGACATATAAATATTTTATTGTTTTAAATGTGAGAATTTGGTTGAATGAACTGTGTCTTTGTTATGTAAGATAACAACATTATCATAAATGCTACATAGTCAAGACAACCAAATGTCTTGTTAAATAAGTATACACTCTGCATCGAACAGAAAAATTCTTAGGTAAGACTGATCCAATCGATCATTAATTTAAATTCATAAAAAGCTTAAATATTTAGTTACCTTAACTGTATGTAAATTTTTAAAGAAATAGTTTTCAGAAAATACAAACTAATTGTTTATTGGAAAATAAGGTTGCTAATATGTTAGGTCAACATATTTTGATTGGTAATGCATTAAACGTATTAACAATGTCAAATCAACATTTTATTTAGTTAAAGTAAACTACTTAATTTTCTAAAACTACTAAGTCATTTTGACCAAACATACAGTTGATTGAATTCTACTTTAGCTTCAAAATAAAGCTAATTTTGTTTGGTTTGACGTTGCGATCATTCAGTCATTTGAAAAAATATACATATAGTTAAAGGATCAAAATATAATTTTCGCAGAATATTATCAGTTAACTGAGGAAGATGGTTATGTAAAGCAAGAAGTTTTTAATTAGAACTGACTCTGTGTCAAATTCTTTTTCTTTTTATCAAATTCAACCAATGAAATATTGTTTAAATGAATCATAATGAAACTAAGAAACAAACATATTTGAATCAACCAAACGTATATTTGCAGAAACAAAAGTTTGTTCGTTTTATGGTTGAAACGCACGACGCAGCATGGCGCTGTGTTACGTGGCGAATACATTGATATACATATACGTAAAATGAATTAAGCGTTGCGCGAGACAAGTCGGCACACGCTATAAAGAGACCGACAGACAGACAGAGAGAGAGAGAGGGAGAGGGAGAGAGAGAGAGAGAAACACAGTAGACTTATGTTTGTTTCTCTTGTAACTACCAACTTCCAGCGTTTTTCTTTTCTTTCTATAACAAATGCCGGCGTGTCGCGCCGGTCGCGCGCAGTGCTCACAATCAGTCAATTGTCGATGGGCGAACAGCATTCTGCGTGTAGCGCTTACCGCACGTGCTTGCAACCAGTTTTGCGTTCTCGTCTGCCGTGCGACAATTCAGGGTGTATTATCTACGTGATTACGATTGAAGTGATAAAAGTTTTATCTTCGGTATTATTGTTTACCTATACATATAGTGCAAAGAGTAAAGAGTCACAGGGGTAGTGAAGGATAGAAGTGTTGCTGTCGAAAGTACGTTAGGCAACCATCTTGAGCGTCCACTGCTTCCGTAAGCTTCACTTATTCATATATGCTCTCTCCCTGTTCATCTTTTACTCTTTGATATAATAGTGTAAATAATGGCCAACATCGTGAAATCTTGGGAGCTTGACGAAGAAATTTCGACGAAACTGATCGAAATCATACAAGGTACGTATATTGTGACTATACATACATATGTGAAATAAGTGTATAACTAAAAATCGTTCGCGTGACGACGCTTAAATCCTTTGCGTGGCTGAAAAGACTTGCAGGCTATTCAGTCATTGGTAAAACACCAGCATAATCGATTTGAATTCGTTTAAATTAATTATATCATATCGGGAAATGGCCTTTTTCGGAAAAACTCAAGTATAGATGCGTTGTTTAGAGACATAGTTTTGTCTATACATGGTAGTTGACAAAATTACGAGACGAGCATTTGTAACAATGTATCGGTCAAAAGTTGAATTGTCGAAACGGAAATATAACCTATATATCTAAACACGCATATCTTAAAAGTAACTGAAATTTTGTTAATTCGACAAAACGATTGACACGATTTTATAGAAAATGCCATCGATGACGATAATATGTCGCAACTTAATCCAGAACTGATAAAAGAATTATTTCCAAAAATTGGACTTCGTTTACATTTTCTCGAAAAATGGATGGCGACATACGGTCAACATAAGAAGTCTGTTAGTATATCTAATGTAATTTTTCATATTCTGATTATTAATATTTTAAATTTATTATTTCTTCTTGCACTACATAAAATTCTTTAACAATACAGCCCTTAAATGAAGAGAGTGAAATGGAGAGCGTTGATAGCGATTTTAACAAAACGTCTTCGAACGAAAGGAATGATGACGAGTTTGCATTGAAAAGACAAGATGCCTTTTTGGGCAAGACCATGTTTGCTCTGAGAACACAAAATATGAACATTAAATCGATTCTTAACAAAACGATCCAGGGTCAAGCGATTCTCCAGTCGTACAAAAAAATTAAGACTTTGTCGAGAAAGTGTCGTAATGTTATTGTCGATCTTCTTCTGTCAGAAATACTCTCAAAGACGCCTCGGTTATTTTCTTTTTTATAATTATTTATATTGTTTTGACTATTAATGTTTTCATAAATAAGCTATAATACATATTGTGTATATGGTAATATACATATACACTGGTCAAAAAAATTAACGCAACAAGAAATTTACATCAAAATTTGGCGAATTTCAAATAAGCGTAACTTCGCGAAAACTGGTCAAATTG